GCTCGCTTCCAGATGGACTTTGAAAACAAACGCGCGCAGCGGAAATGGCGCGATGCGAATGATAACGCAGTGCGGGGGGCGGGCGGGCCAGGCAAGCGATATCTCTGGACCGGGCGTTGGAGCATCCAAACACATACTAGTACCAATTCAGAAGGGAGAAATATGCACGTTTACTACCAATTTTATTATAATTATTAATTTAATATTACTACTTACTAGGAGCAGTAGTCCCAAGCTGAATTCCGTAACTACGCTTCGTGAAGTGACAGAGGTTGAGCGAATTTTAGACATCGCGGGTTCCTGGATGGGTGCCGTGACCCGGGCTAAAGGGTAAATGGCAATGAGTGACTAAATTAAAGAGGGTTTTCTCCAATACGATCCAGGCCATCAGGTTATTGTAATAAACAGAACGCTGTTACGAGTGAGATTGGGAGTGGGGGCGGGAATAGGAGCTGTGATGTCAGTAGGTGTGCAGTTGTAGTTGATTTAGGAATATATCAAATACTAAGTGAGAACAGGTGCGAATACATGTTACCGTGGAAGAAAACAATACGGTAGATTCTTTAAATATTAGGAAGTCACATTTGAAATCCTGTATTCAGCTTTCACTGATCTCCAATTAATAGTAAATTTTCTGATTGTGAATACGCTTTTCCCCAATGATAATTACTGTAATTTGGGGAATTAGCCGCGAGTAGGGAGACATAGTAGACGGGGTCTATATATTGTATGACGCTATCGTGAATGGCAATGTAGTCAATTTGCATTAATTTACTTTCAAGGAAAGAATCATACTCTTTCAAACCGATTTGTATCTCCTTTAGAAATTGTAATATTGAAGATATTTGACACTCGTATCATGAAGGATTACTTGTTTACTTCCAAAGATTTTGTCAAGTAATTCTGAACTACTGAAACTATATATTCAAAGAACTATTAGAGTAAGCAGCTGGAAATCCTTCATGATTGTTTCTCTGAAAAGTGGGCGGTAGTTTTCGAGATCCTTGTTGAATACTCGAGAGCAGAGTGAGCCCTCGACGACAAATGTCGCGCGTTGTTGACGCGTCATTAAGCTCTTGTGGTTCGTGCTGAGAATGTTAGGAGAGCGCGAGGTGGAAAAAGTGCCTTCCTTGTTTTTACGCCGTCCCTTCCCTCAACGAGCTTACTTTTTTTGCTGTCTGTCACAAGTTCTCCACTTCTCACATTCTTGGGAACAACGCCAGCACTTCCGTGGTGGAGGAGGAGTTTCTCTTCATTTTCCCTTTTTATCAGAGAAGATATGCTTACATCCTGATTGTTTGGCATAAATATTTACTGAAGAGTCAAATTTAATTACATACTTTTTATTTTATAGACTTTATTGATCACTGGTTACAATGAGGATATGTTACCAGTGAACTTTGTTATTTTTTATAATGTTTTCATTGGAAATTATATATTCTAAGTAAAACTTTCTAATTATAGTTGTTTTGTTGGGCTGGTGTTAGGCAAATGTTGTGAAAAAATCGTCGAAACCTTTTGTTGGATCTGGTTCTTTAACCACATGTTCAACAGGTGTTGTACTTTTTCTTTGGAAACCCTTTAAATAGTGGAATAACCCAGGATCTGTCCGTCTTTAGCTAAGGGAATAATGAATTGAGTTGCATTTGTTTTACTAAAAACACATTAGCGCGGAATAATTTCTAGAAATAGGCAAATTTGTGGAATAACGGAAATATATTTTGCATATGAAGAATATTGATACGATGTCCGTTTTTTGAAAAGGAGGAGAAAATCTCATTTTTCTCGAACACAGCCTTCCAGTTCCTTTACATTACTATTCAGTGATGGATCTAACGTGTTTTGTAGTAATCTAACTCCATTTATTTAAAATATTCACCATACCGATCTCACATTCCAGAGAAGTACTTCTTTTAAACATGAGCAGCCGAGCGGGTAACATTTCAAGAATAATATTACATTCTCCAAATTATCATTTTCCTCTAACAAATTTATGAGGAAGGGGTTCGGAACTGAAATCTACTTTTCCTTTTAAAATACTTTCTCGATCCGCCCCAGAATGTATTTCTTCAGTTAATGCCTATTACATATTCCTTGTGATGGTTAGATATTCGTTCAGAACCGTGGAAAAGACTAAAACGTCCCATCTCGTGACATCCGGCGTCAAACAGCAATTCGTTGCATAGCAGACAACTCGTGTCCTCCCACCGGGAGAGGTAGCTCAGGGCATCAACTGATGTCACGAAAGTGCCTCTGACCGGGAGGTCGTCGTGTTTCAGTCTCAGTTGGTAGAGGATTTTCGACCCTAGCTAGATAGAGTTTGGTCGCTGTTTGGAGGAGAACTCTAACGACAGGCTGCCGAGAGACCGGTCGGAACTTAGAGCATGTCCCGGCTGGGGCGGTGCCCTGCTGGTGGCGGATACCTGGTTGGAGAAACCACTTTCGCTAGCCGAGGGTAGGCCGGCGCCAGATCTCACCATCAAGCGGGGAGAGATAACTGCCACCTCCCGCGATAACAATATGGCCTACACTTACGGGACTAATGTCCTTAGCAGTTGACGCGCTAAGAATTTCTAATCAATCAAGCGATCGACCCTAAGTCAAGTGTCATTCGCGCTGCAGTCCGTGGAGGGCGGAAGGTGCGTGTGTCCCTCTCTCCTCTCTCTCCGCTCTCTCATGTCTCTCTCTCCGCTCTCTCATGTCTCTCTCTCTCCGCTCTCTCATGTCTCTCTCTCTCCGCTCTCTCATGTCTCTCTCCTCTCTCTTCTCTCTCGTCTCTCTCTCCGCTCTCTCCTCTTTCTCCTCTTTCTCCTCTCCCTTCTCCTCTCTCTTCTCCTCTCTCCTCTTTCTCCCCTCTCTCTTCGCCAGTACTCCTGTCGCAAATGGGCAAATGAGCTCCTCCTCTTTCGGCGCCGTAATATAACCCCCGCGGTGCTTGTCAGGTAATTCGTCTTTTGTTCGCGCTTTGCGTCAGCGCGTGGGTTGAAATAGGAGCGGCCAACATTTCCTTCAGTGCGCCACTGCAGTGCACTGGAGGATAAACAAAAGGCAGAATTTCGGGCCTCTTACTCGGCTATTGTCTGTTTAAAAACGTGAAACGCTGAAAAGAAAACGCTGATTTGATATCTCTTTCCCAGGAAGGGAATTGTGTACTGTAGCTTGTACGTTTACGTACATTAATATCTACAAATTTACCACAACCACAGATGTACACACCAGTTGAAAATTCCCGCGTAAAACATTGATGGGGCATGGCCTCTTGTATTTACCTGAATGGAACTTATTTGAAGGGGCATCCAGTAGGGGGGGCAGCTGGGTCCAGTAACCCCATTCCACGACTTAATTGTGGCCCCGAATTTAACCCTACAAGTTATTTCTGATGCATATAGAAATGAATTCTGCTAATGAATTGAAGGGGGAGTGAACTTTTGGAAGTAAGGGGCCCCCTAGGATCAATTGCCCCGGGCCCCTGGTTTTCTCTGGGCGGCCTCTTCTCATTTGAGTTTGTTTTTGTCGTGGTACATGGCGAATGATTCAGGGTCAGTAGCGAAGGTTGTCGTTCGGGCCCAGTAATGAAAAGTAGAGCTGACCAACTCGAAAGCTGGTAGTCCCTAGCTAGGTAGAGGTACAATAACCTGGTTCAAAACCTCTCTGGGGCAGGAGTTGTGGTGACTGGGAGCGGATTCGTGCTGGCGTTACTGCAGTGTCTAGGCTGCCGTTACTGCAGAGGCCTGGCTACTGCCGGAGCCCGAGTGCCCATTTCTTGGGCTTCAGAACTATCTGGTATCAATGAAGCACGTGCGGATGAACAGTTTATGAAGAATAGTTGATGTTTCAGCAAACTAGTTTTTTTGAGAAGGATGTTGCAATGTTAGTATCAATACCACGATACTGGCTTGTAAACTTAGATACTTGAGCTGTGAAATCGAAACTGAAGGTGTCGATACTGTAAAATGGCATGTATCGTCCGTAGCTGTTGCGTGTGTCGCGTGGTGGCCGATGTGACGGGAAGGGCAGTGTCGATGTCCCTAGCGGCGACACAGGAGACATTGACTCTCTTATCTGGTAACTGTTCCCACCCGAGGCCAGGAGGCCAGTTCCCCTTTGGGCGTTGGCCGTCAAAGTGAAGGGCATGTGAATGACAACAAGCAATATGCTTCTTCTGATAATCCATTTTAGTTCGTATCTTCATTATGGTTATTACTTCGTGGAATATGTTCTAACGAACGATAATATTGCGACAATTCTTCCTGTCGTGGATGTTTTATGGTCGACATTTACATACTGTAAAATTACTTTGGCTTTTTTTAATGTGCTTCAATATTTCTACTCGAAACATCAACATTTTAGATTGCGTTAGGTTTACTGAAACTGTAGTTTGATATCCAAATCGTTAGACAGACACATTTCTCGACTGCTGGATGTTGGAGCATTTCCAAGAGTGAAGACATTCCTCAAGCAGTAACAAAACGTTCGCCTTCATCTTTTTCCTCATTTTCTTGTTGCGCATTTGTTTGCATTTCCAGCTCGTTTATGTTTTAGTGTATTGTAACACTCATCTACTCATCTACTTTTGGCTCAAAGTGTAAACTGTTTTATTATTAATTAGTAGTAAACGTTCAGGAGTTAGGGAAGTTGACAAAATATTCTGTTCGCAGTAGGATTAAAATCGTCTGTAAGTGGGGTAATGGTCATAATTTAATTGCTTGTTAATATGAAATAAAAACCTTTTATTTTTGAAACTGACGAAAATTTGTGTATTCGGTGCTCGCTATTGCTACGTAGGACTTTGGGTACTTCTTGCATTATTTGATTTGCCCGAGAACACAGTACACGGGTTTGTAGGCAGCAATTGGGCTGCTGGAAGCTCGTTGCCGGCAGCCGGCCCGCTGCGCTAGCCGAGGCGAGCGGGGTCCTGTTGTGCCCGGGATCAGCTGAAACCGAGCTGACGCAGCGGCGGGGGCGGCGGCGGCCGTCCGGAGGCGCCCATGCGGACGAAGGCCAATGGGGGCGGGGCCGGGCCTGGGAGGGGCGGGGACGGATTCGGGGTCGTGGCTGAGCGCATGCAGAAATATTCCAACTGGGCACCGCCGTACTAGCAGAGGCCGCTGACCCCGCCCGCATCCGGTCCGCCCTCGCCCCCCTCGGCGTCCCCGCCCCCCTGGCGCCTCCGCCCCCTCGGCGCTCCCTTCTGCGCATCGCCCCCCTCCCCCAGGGCTTGTGCTTCCATCACGGCGGAAGTTCCGTCTAAGAGGGTTACGGCAAAACACGAGGCAACTGGTTCTTATTTGCTTGATAATTCCAGTGTGGATAGACGTATGTAAAGTGCAATTAAAAACGCACGATATTAGGTTAACGTTTGAAGTCCAAGGCGAAGTATGAGCGTTAGATGAGTGGTGTAAAATCGAAGTTAATTGATTTTTATGATGTGTGGTACGGTTTATGTTGTTGGGATTTCGGTCAGACCGGAATGTGCCTCATTTCGAGAACTGAGGTTTTATAGTCTTTGCAATGGTTTTCGGCCATAAACGGCGTAATGTAATGTAAAGACGGTTTTTTATGATCCTAGGGTTGTTTTTTTTTGTCCCAAAACAAAAATGTGACCAGAGTATTGGTGTTATAAGCCTATTGATTTTCATTTTGTAGTAACTGGCAATTCTGTCAAGCCAGGTATTAGTCGAAACTCTAGCCAGAAGCAAATAGTTATCTCGCGCCAGTGGATGTGGACACCTACGATACCTAATTATATTATTTCTGATTTTCTGCGAGTTTTAAATTTCGTGATGTTTAATTTAAATGCGGCTCCAGTAATTTAGTTTTCTTCCTCATGCCTTCAGCACTATTTGCGTCGCCTGGATTTCTATTTTCAAAACGATATTTCATCCTGTTTTTGCTAGTCTGTGAACATTACTTGCTTTTTGCTGTGGGTAGTGTTTGTTGTTTTGGTTCGTTTGTATTTTATTTGGCTAGCGCATTACTATGTCACTCTTGTTTACTTTGATATTTTGGTCAGTTATGACTTGCTGATTTCAAAGCATAGTGACACATTTAGTTATAGTTGTTGATGAATCCTACTCGTATTTGATATAAACAGAAAAGGAAACATTACATATGATGTTCCCCTAATTTTGTGCAACATGTCGTTTTTCCTTTTCCAGTAGGCTACTAGAAAGTGACAACGAAAATTGTTTGTCGACTTTGTACATCATTACCACATTAGACAGTTAAATTAATGTTCTAAAATGACTAAAGTAGCCAAAACAATTTTAAATAAAATACTATCTATTCAACATACAGATTCTGTTTCCGTTACACACTTGATAATCAATAATTTGAAACATTATGAGCGTCACGGCGTTTTGCAATTACTTGAGATTTGAACTTTTTATTGCATTATACTGCTGCTCTTCGGGAATAATCTGCACGCATTATCAACATTTTCTTAGAGGATTTCCTTCTCTACATGTTTAATTTACTATTATTATTATTATTATTATTATTATTATTATTATTATTAAAAAGTTCAAAACTATTTTGGAACATTAACGTTCTGTTGAAATTCAATTTCTCGCAAATTCGCAATGAGAATTCCTGCAACCCGAAGCACGTGAAGTGCAGCCGGGCTGTGAGAGCTGTAAATATTTCCGGCGTCCTCTTGCACTGGCGGCGTTCATATCGCGCCGCACGAAGTTCCCAATTGCCATTTCAGACGGACAGCCATCAGAATGCTGAAAACATACACGAAATATATTCTAGAGAAGCTTTATAACTCGCTGCTATAATAAAAATGTTTTCAATCCGTTTTTTGTAAACAAAAATAATTATTTTTATTAAATTGCAAATACATAATTTTGATATTACAAGCAGTGCCACTTAAGCGTGCACCCGGAGGGCAGGCGTTCACACCTCATACTTTAAATCCCAAATTACGATGATGTCACTGAGCATCGCAGCTGAATTTCATAACACGTTCTACGCGTGAGGTACACAATAATTGCAATGGCCATGGAGCTGTGGGGTGCTTTTTTGGAATGCTTATAGAAAGTCGAAAGCAATCACTAACACCAGAAGTGTGCTGTCTGTAGGTCGGCTGCCTAGGCGGTTTTATCTTGTCCTCGCCATATGGGGTATTGAAGCGCAGGCTGACTGCAGCCCGACAGCGCGCGATATATTCATCACTGCAGCCAGAAATTTCAGGCATTTGTTTGAACTAAAATAGGCATGTACATTTACTAAAATATGCATACAAAACGGCTTTAATTTTTGCTAAAGTAGGGTTGCAAAGAGCCATGTAATCAATGAAAAATCACATTTAAATATATTCTTGTCAACAATTATTAATTGATATGATTCACATAGTTATTCTAACTCTAAAATTTTCATAGCACTTGCGTGTGAGGAAACAAGCTTTCGTGTAAAAATGTCCCTATCTATAATTACGGAAATAATTATTTTCTATTATTTCCATCTAATAATTATTTATTTTTTTCTTTAAAGTGAGAAACTATGTATAAAACTCACTGAATATTCCACCATGAATCGCCATTATTTATTAAAGTGCGTTTCACTCTGCTTTTTTTTTAAAGTTAAATGGCTGCTCAAATCGAAACTTTCTTCTAACAAATGTGAAATTGTAATTTTGCCCGTCAAGCGTTGCGAATCCGTTCACTGTCCGCTGGCACCGCACCCGTCGCCGACGCGTTGCGTGACTCACGTGCCGCGAGGCGCTGGCGCGAGAGGCCGTCCTGCCAGCCGCGGAGTGCGTCTGTGGCTGCGCGGACGCCGAGCGAACAGCCGCTCGCTGGGTCGGGCGGATGGGGCCTCGCGCCCGACCGCCAGAACGGGCTCCGGGAAACGCGCGCGCCGTCATACGGGCGCAGCGTGGGCGAAGGCGGCTTGTGAAATGTACACACGTGAAATCCAAAACTGTCCACTATACCGTGGTACTCGTAAATAGGTTGTCTCGGAATAAAAAAAACGTTACCAGTTTTAATAGGATCCCAAAATAATCACTCTTGACGATTGAACATGTGCGGAAATGTTCACGTAAAGAAGTTACACATGTGGCGTCTACCCGTGGTAGGTCTGCAACTCAGGCCGCAGAAATTTAGCCCTGAAGAAGGTTGCATAAAGACGGTTGAAATGTTAGCATCTGTGCCTAGGCCTCGGCGTCTCCCGGACAGCCAAGTATTTGCGGATTCCGGCCCAGAAGCCTACTCTTTCGTCTTTGTTTATATTACGAAAAATAAAAATACGATATTGACTTCAAATCATTTCCTTCTCTCTCATGCAACTTGGTACTCGTAAATAGGTTGTCTCAGAATAAAAAACGTTACAACTTTTTGGGGAGATATAGGGCCCCAAAATAATCACTCTTGACGATTGAACATGTGCGGAAAAGTTCATGTAACGAAGTTACACATGTGGCGTTTACCCCTGGTAGGTCTGCAACTCAGGCCACAGAAATGCGTGCATTTCGCCCTGAAGAAGGTCGCGTAAGGCGGCTGAAATGTTCGCATCTGAGCCTTGGCCTAGGCGTCTCCCGGAAAGCCAAGTAGTTGCGGATTTCGACCCGGAAGCCTACGTTTTCGTCTTTGTTTATATAACTAACAATATAAATACGATATTTATATACAATATAAATACCAAATCATTGGTTTCTCTTTCGTTTAGTTATACGTTTAGTTATAACTAACGTTTAGTAATAGTATGAAACCGTTTCGCTCCCGGCCTGTTAAACACTTGCGCGAGGTATTTCACTCTCATGTTACGAATCTTATTGTTCGAAATTTGGATCTCTCGAATAGACTTCCCTTTTTACTTTCTCGCTAACTATTTACGTACAATAGAGGAATAATTGTAATGCTGCGACAAAACGGCGATTTCTCGACACAAAATCTAGGCTACAGCTGATTGATTTTCCTACGTTGTTAATTGACCTCAAATGGATTTGAAAATAAGCATAGATTCGACCGATCAGAGCACGCTTGCAGATAGAGAAGATTTTATAAGATACTGCTCCGACCTTGGCCTGAAATTCATAGGAGAAATGCGCGTCTTCGACCGATCAGAACAGCGAGCTTCTAGAATTCACATGCAAGCAAGGGTAATTCAGTCCCCGACAATTAGATGTTGCAGTTAGCTCATTTGTACATGTGTTCATTACTATCTCTTGCAATGTCACCGCCCTGCATGACTTCATTTGTTTTCCGACCTTTTAAAATAGTCCCTTCTTAGAGTAACTCCTCTATAGTTGGAGGATGAAGGTGCTCACTTTATACATTCTTGGCTACCGGGATGAGCCGCGTCTCGGTCAATTGGAAAACGTTCCGCCCATCTTGCTGTGGCCTTCTTCAGAGCTACACTTCTGTAATGCTATACTGCCAGCAGTATAGCTCTGAAGGCCACAACAAGATGGCCGAAACGTCAGCCCAATTGACCGAGATACAGCTCATCCCGGATAAGCAAGAATGTATTGACTCCGGCCGCGAAAGCCTACGAACGTGTGCTCACTTTATGTTTCCCTGAGCGTACGCATCTTCAGTTCTTTTCGCTCGGTTTTCGCTCGCGCGGACAGGTAAATTGCGGCGGCTGTTTAAAAATACCGCTGGCGGCTCCGCATGTGCGCACCGCCGTCTGACACCACGCGCCCCCTCTCGATCGCCTTGTGGGCGCTGCCTCCGCGTCTGCCAGCCGGGGAGCAAAAAGACGCTGGAGCGGTGATGAAGAGGTCTCGATTTACTCGTTCGCACAAGCGAAAATGTACGGCGAAAATCGACCACTGCGTGGAGACTTTTAGAAAGAGGTCGACCGTTCACTGTTTTTGGTGGATTCCTGGCGGATGGCGCTGATTAATTTGTTCATTGATGTTTTCGAGTATATCAACAGATGGGGTTGTTATTCCCGTTATTGTAGTGAATGTTTTATCCTCCCATGCTCGTTCGTGAGATACTGTGCCTTATGCGTCGTCTCCCGGAGTTTCCCTCTCCATGTATCTGTCTCAGCGAGGTACCGCCCCAACCGGCATAAGCTCGAAGCTCCCGACAGATCTCGACATATCTGGTAGTGTAGCAATGCATGTAACTGTGAGTGGGTATGGGTAAAGCACGAGGGGGGATAAGGGTGAATAAAAAAGATCGTGTGTGATCTATGACCCGTTTGGTAGGATACTCCTCCGTCATTCGCTTGGTATTGGTCGTAGAAGCCACTTAGTTATCAGAGCGCCCTGCCGCCAGAATTTTCCTTCAGAGAACAACTCAGTCCACCTAGCTATTACATTTCTAGTGTCGATTACCCGCCATCGTCGGGACTCGACCCCTGCGATCAGAGTCGCTGCAGGTCTTTTATCTGCTGATAAAGGCGAGTGTGCTGATAAAATATTCCACGGGTCGTGCGCGATCCTTCCTTTCCTAAACTGCTTCTTTTCAGTTGTTCAATGTCTCTGGCCGGGTGGTCCTAGCGCTTGAGGCCCCACGTTGGCGGGATATCCTTAGCAGTTGACGCGCTCGAAAGCATCAATCTTCTATTAGTATTATTCCCGGAAGGTAGGTTGACCGCCCATCGTCCTACTAATACCGCAAAAGTAATTATGTGTTCATCTACAGCGTTGCATCGAGCTATATTGGACAGTCACGTGATGCTTATTACACTGATTGCTCTCGCCGTGCTTCCTTTTGTCTGCAGAGTTCGGCCGCATATTTGGTTCTGGTTCTGGTTCTTCACCCTCTTATCCGACTTCGCTGTGAGAACATCACCGTGCTATCTTTGTTGTTCTGTAGACAAGTTGCGCTATTGTGCAGGGCTGTCGCCTGTATAGCGAGGGGAAGTACGAACAAAAGGCAGCAGGAGATATGTCCTCGCTGGAATAAAAGGGATGGAGGCGGAGGGATGGTGTAGGAGTAGCGATGCCATAGACGATGGTGAGAGTCTCTGAGCCCAGGCTCATTTTAACTCTTATCGCTTTTTTGTGTAGAATTTAGCTATTAGCTTTGTTCTGTTTTATCGGAGTATGGAATTGCAAAACAATGCAAGTTTGTGACTGAATAATTCATTGAAGATAAAGTAAATTGTTAATTTCGCTTTCAATTATAAAATGTTAAATAATTTTTAACATGAGAAGTTCATGTAATCCATAAATTGATTTTTCATACAGAAATCTTAGTACAGTGGATGTAAAGGATTTATGTGAATATCATATATTAGACTTTTTTGTAATTTGATTGTTTCTATTTTGCTGGAATTAAGATAAGAAAACTTTGGTTACACGGAAGGCGGAATATATAATTAACTCAAGAATTAGTTCTCAACGTTTTACATTATATATTTTACTCTCCTAATCTAGTTTGTTTCTCCTATTCCCAATTCATAATCACTTCACATTACATAGCACTTCTCGTATTTGTATTGTTCTCAGTGGCGTAAGTTGAATATGTTCTTTGCGTTTGTTAATTTATCGCATTTTTATATAGACACTATATATTTTATTAACAATTTTACCTCTCAATATTATCGTATTAAACGCACGGTAATAGCCTGCGACTGCCTCAACTGAAAATACGATTGTTCAGGGAAAGCAAACACCTCCTGTAGATAACTGGAAACATAATTTGGATCATTGATTTTTATCTTTACAGTTCTTTTATGCCTCTTCCTTTAAAAAAATTGTAAATACCGTTCCTTCTAGTATTACCAGATATCTTTTATTGCTTATAGTTAGTTCGCCGCCCCCCCCCCTTTCAATTGCGAGACATTTGCCGATTTTTATGTAGCAACAGAAATCTTTAAATATGTTTGTGATTTAAGGCAGTAGAAGGAAACGAATTCATAAACAGCATGTTTCTCTCTCCCTCTCCTTCTTCCTCTCCCTCTCTTTCTGTCTGTCTGTCTCTTGCTGTCTCTATATCTGCATCTGTATGTTTTTCTCTCTCTGCCTCCCTTTCTCTCTCACTCTTTCTCTGTCTCACTCTTTCTGTCTCACTCTTTCTCTATTTCACTATTTCTCTCTCTGTCTCACTCTTTCTCTCTCTGTCTCACTCTTTCTCTCTCTGTCTCACTCTTTCTCTGTTTCACTCTTTCTCTCTCTGTCTCACTCTTTCTCTCTCTGTCTCACTCTTTCTCTCACTGTCTCTAGCTCTCTCTCCCTCTTGCTCTCTCTCCCTCTCTTTCTTTCTCTCTCCTCCTCTTGTACTCTCCCTCTTTCTCTGTCTTTCGAGTTGTCGCTGAGATATAGGTAATTCACCTGAAACTACATTCTCCACACCAAGATGGAGGTGACGTGCTTAACAGTGAAGATGAGTCTTGCGGAATGGAACGCCCAACTGCCAGCCAGCACGCGGGCGGGCAGTGCATCGAGGTCAATGTAGCACTTGTTATCTGCATTGCGAATAGTTCCTGCCTTGCTATCGATGCCCCCCCAGCGAGCAAATATTGCGACAGGAATACGGTTTTGTAACGCCATCAAAGCAAACTAGTCAGTGCATGTTCAATCTGAAACAGTTCAAATCTAGGCCCGAGCCTCTATGGCCCTTTGGGTCCATAGCCCTCCTACTGAAATAGTTAATATGTTATCGATAATATCAACCTTACTCTTGTATACGTAGTTGAGAGAACGGAATATAATGCTGCAAAAAAGTCAGTATTGAGATGACGAAAAATGACTGTTGACGCAATGAGCAGACGCTTGTACCCAAAAAGATTGTTTTTTATATGGCTTTCCCACCAGCTCATTTTTTAAAAGCTTTTTTACATTGTGCGCTTGTGGCATATATCTAATTTTATTAAAGCCTCTCAAATTTCTAAAATAGTAAAGTTTCATTTTTTTTTTGAATCTGCCCACTCCTTCAATATTGAAGGTTTGTTTCATACTTTCTT